TTATATATTAGATCGTAATAGTCATTCTTCAAATCAGGGGTTTTTAACGTTCACAAGTAATAATTTGATAATCTAATTCTCTGTGCAGTGGGATCGATCCTAGCTTACCCTACTACATTTTATGAGGTTTTAGTTAGGTTTATTTTTGGTCGACACGCGACAATCTTATCAAGCCCGCTTATATATTTAAGACAACTTTGATTGTTGATCATTAACATAGTGCAAATAGATAGTGCATACAATCTTTTATGTACTATAGAAGTTATATATTGCAATCATAAGTGTCCTTATCTCCAACCTATAATTATTCTAATAATTAGCATTTTTTTTAACAAAATCAATCCATTAATAAAAGTCATCTGACATTTACAAATGAAATCTAAATTGACAAATACATAAAATAGAATCAATAAAGGTTTCCATATCAAATTTACGGTCGTTGAGAATATCTTGCACTGTGGTACATCTCTGGCATACATTGTTGAATATGTAGTCTTTTCGGAGAGACGGTTTGACGATTTGTTGTAGCCGTAAAGATGATTATTATCTGATTCGGTTGAACGTATTTGAGAATTCGATAACCGCCGCGATCCGTGAAAAACGGATCTGGATCCACGGATCTGGGTCGGATCCAGATCCACTGCTATCCCTAGGCGCGACCCAACATTATTGCAAAAAATATATACAAGTATTTTGATTTATATTATACTTTCAATGCAAAACTTGTATCATAAGATCTAATAAACATAATTGCAAAAAATATATACATGTATTTAAAAATAAAAATTACTGCAACACATAAACCGAAAATATGGTGAGAGTGAGGGATAGCTTAAGTGGTTAGAGCTTTCCTTCCGCTTCGAGAAAATCTTGGGATCGATTCTCAACTCCGCCCTTGTGACTCTCAAAACACCAAAAAAAAAAAATACCAAAAATATGGTGTATTTTACATTGTTACTACTCTCCAAACTTATTCTTGTTCAAGCTAATAAATGAATGAAATCAATTAAATTATAGTCACTGTCACAGTAGCTGGAAACATACTCGCTATAAAGTCAAAATAACAAAAATGTGGAAACCATTATTATTTGTACGTACGCCATAGATGAATGGTCCTTAGATATAGCATTATACCCCAGGCCCACGACCAACAAATAAAACGAATATGTGAAAGCGATTATATAAAAAGCAAAAGCAATGCTTTGATCTACTAAGTACTTATTATTTGAATGTTACGTCGGTTGCCCATTAAAACATCTACAATAAGTACGAAGTATTAATTTCATCATGTCAATTTTACTTTATTTGGATCCATTACTTGGCCGGTGAGCAACTATAGACTTGTACAATGTACTATCCATCTCTTTGTTTAGCCATTTTTAGTATCGTTTAAGGGTGTGTTGTATTTACCTGATTTTCATTTATTAAAACTTATTTTAGTTGTAATTTATATTTGGGTAACCCTTATCATCCAAAACTTAGTTTTCATGAACTAAACTTATCTGAACTTATTACACCTGAAATAAGTGAAAATAAGGTAAACAGAACGCGTTTCTTTCAATCGGTTTTTAATTTTATTAACTTACGTGACTCTATATTGTATTGTACTCCCTTTGTTCTTAATAATTTGTTTTTATTTTCTAGGAGTCAATGCTCATCAGATTTGACCATGAATTCTCATTAATATAACGACTATAATTTGACTACACAAGTAATAAATATGTGAATATATCCGTAGATCAAATGAATCAAGTAATCAACTACGAAGCACTATATAAACTATGGAGTACAAATTTACAACCAACATATAAATAACAAACGAGTCAATTTGGAATAAGAAGTTTACGAGCTAAACTTGTAGAAGACAAATGGAGTTGGGGTATGAGGAATAATGACATTAGTTTTCTTTAATGATTTGGAGAAGGTATATACGTAGTATAATTTATGTAATTTAATGAAAGAGAGCGTCACCTGAACAAATTCATTTCGAGTGATCACAAAATTAAAGTGATATTCTTCCCAATTGTCAATTGGGCATATTAAAGCCTTCCAATAATCTTGAAGAACATTTAGAAAAATGATAGATTACTCCTTGATATTCCCTTTTTAAGTTTAGGTGATCAGTATGCATCATATTTTGTAGTGGTAGATCATGACGAACAAAACAAAGTGGTGGCACTACCATAATTTTAAGAGTAACGAGGGAAAAGTAGTCAAAAAGTAGTGAATAAACTAGTGAAGGCTAGAGCTACAAGACTAACACCTAACACGTTGCAAAAACGAATTTTTAATTTGCGTACTCGTATAATTATATTTCGTAACAAACAAAATCATGCAGATAAACTTTTTTTAAGAGTAATAATTAAGGCTTGAGAAAGCTCCAATTACAATGAACTTCATTAATACTATGTCTTAAAGGAATTAACTAGAGATGATATGTGTTAGATTTTATGATTGATGTCCTTCAACTCGCGTATGTGGTTTGATAATTATTGTTAATTCCCGCTTGCTAATTTAAATGTGAAGAACTGCTTTTATTATCTTTTTATAACTTCTATATTCTTTCCTTAGGTAAATTACTTTGAAACTTTGAATGCAGTGAGCCAGTAATTATAAAATAACCTGGCCTCTTCTATCTACTCCAAATGCTTCACTCTATTGCCATTAATAACACCGATCTATTAATATAATTGTTTTTTTACAAAGCTACAAAAAAATTCATTTTCGAAACTGTCTTTATAATCGACACAAAGCTATAGGCAAAACGATAGAATTGAATAATATTGATTTTGATGTTGTGCATTGCCCCCTAGTCACTATACATATGCATATGCTTATTACGCCCATAATTAACCTTGGAAAAAGACAGACGTACCTCCCGGCGCTGCTTAATAAGGTTGGTGCCCTAGCTAACTACTTAAGACGGTCTAGCACTTTCGGTGCATGGCATATTATAAGCTAAGGTGTAGACTTTAACAATTACGTAACGAGTTTGTTTATAAATATTTAATGCATAATTATTGCCAAATTATGAGGAAATTTCACATGAATTGCTACGATGTGGACATGCTTAGGCCCTGTTCTATTTACCTTATTTCCACTTATTTCACGGTTAATAAGTTCAAATAAGTTCAAATAAGGGTTAATAAGTTCAGATAAGATAAGTTCAGGAAAAATAAGTTCAGATAGGTTGTGATAAGGGTTAACCAAGGCTATCCAAGTTTAATTTATAACTAAAATAAGTTCTAATAAGTTTAGATAAGATCAAATAAATTCAGATACGTAATAATCAGGTGAATAAAACGCACCCAGGGAATCTTATCTGTCAATTACTTGGGAAATCTTTGCCTTCATTTTTTTTTTTGCCGTGAGAGGTGGTTGTCGTGACCTTAATATAAATACATTATTATTCAGTAGAGTGGTCCATGAATATTTTTTTTTTTGGTTTACTCTTAGTTTGTATGATAGTAGTGCTTATCACATTTTTGTTTACATGAGTAGTTGATTTTGTATTCGGTGATAGGTTGTTAGCCACCCGACAACATTAATAATCCATATACATAATATTGAAAAAAATTAGATGAGACTTGAAATAACATCAAATTCTTCTATAAAAGTATTGTAATTGTCAAGAAAAATAAGATTTTTTATGATTAATAATAATATCAAATTCTTGTATAAAATGTATTGTAATTGTCAGGAAAAATAAGATTTATTATTAATAATAATATCAAATTCTTGTATAAAATGTATTGTACGTAATTGTTAGGAAAAATACAATTTATTATTAATAATAATATCAAATTTTTACATAAAATGTATTGTAATTGTCAAAAAATAAGATTTCTAACTACATATTGTAAGCTACATACTTTTCATAATACGATTAATATCATATGACATACAAATTAAAAACTTTTCTCATCTAATAATAAATTAATAATTATTGAGATTGGAGAGACGTAATGATATAGATAAGATTCAATTTTGTTTCTTAGGAATTAATTAGTGTTCAGACTTTCTCAACTAATTAATTACTCTAGTTGACACCTCATTCGATTTTTCTAGTCTTTTAAGTACTTTCTTGTTTTCCTCAAAAAAAAAATAATAAATAAATAAATAAATAAAATAAAAAGTACTTTCTTGTTTATAGATATTAAGCATTTTGTAATTGGGATTTAGATAATCATGTCGTTGAAGACTAGAAAAATCATTGTGTTTAGATATCTGTTGGGCGTCTATTAAATAGAATTTATTTTACATACATACGAAGTATACAGTTGGGAGCTTATAATTGAACTTATAACTTGATGGAAGTCTTATACTACGTAGTTGATAAAATGTTTATAAGAAGTCTTAGTCAATGATTAGATGAGCTGTTTTTGGCAGGATAAAAATTTTTGTAGATAACTTAAACTATACTATGTGCTTTTTTCGTTCTTTTTTACTTGACTCACTTTGACTTTTACATTATTCACCATATCTTTTTTGACCGTCTTTGTGAATAATATATAAGGAAAAACATAATCATGTGAGATCTTTTTAAATTCGTCTAAATAAATATTATCATAATATTTAACTTTTATAATTTTTACTTATGGAAAATTAAAGTTATTAATCGTTAAAGTTTTGTATTGATGTTTTGCATTGACAAGTGTGATAAAAAAAACAGGTCAATTAAAAAAAAAAGGAAGTATATATAGTAATAATAATATGGTGCATTATTATTGTATTAATTAATTCCATATGAATCGTTCATAGTTAGACTATACATAGGTCGGCGCTTTAGAGCAGAGAGAAGGTAAGGAAATCCTCTACTCCTAGCATAGTTAGTTAAGGAAGATAGTGAGGCTCAAACATCTCCATACATATACTAAGTATTTGTTTGTTGACATCACTAAAGCGTAGAAAGTTTCGATTTGCTCACCCTTAAAATGACACTTGTATTGTCAAAATGGAAAACTAGAGAAATAAAAAAGTTTAATTAGTTGAGATATATCTCACTAAAACTAATTAAGTAGTGAATAATATAATATATCTAACAGGAAGACATAAGCATGCATGCTTATTGTACGTGTATCATACAATAACACGGAGCATTAACCGGCCAAAATCTAGTAAATATCTAAAATCAACTAATTTGGATCATCTATCTCTCTTCATCTCTCAAAAGTAATATTGATATTGTTATACAACCTAAACTATCGTGAAACATTGAGCTTCATACATGTAATATAAAGAACATAAGATCTCAAGCACACCAACGGGGAGTAAACAGCAAGATGTTAAAAATACAAGAAAAACTAAGAAAATTGAGCAGAGAAAAGCATCAGATTTCTCCTCTATAGCCCCCACCACCAAAATAATCCTTTCTCGAATTAACAAGCTGTTGTGTCTTCTGATGCTCCAATTTTGGGCAATTTTGGATCCTGTGACCAAGCCCCCCACAATACGAACACCCTTGGACTCCACTTGCATCCACGAGGTCCTCTAAATCATCCATTGGGTCATCAAGTTCAGCCAATACAGGTGGTATTCTCTGCTTGGCTTCTTGCAGAAGATGCTTCAAATCAAGCAGTGTAGTCTCACTCTGGTTTCTATTTATGAATGTTGTCGCGATTCCTGTTTTCCCACATCTTCCTGTCCGACCTATACGATGGACATAATTCTCAATCTCAGCAGGCATGTCATAGTTGATAACATGCTGAATGTCGGGGAAATCCAGCCCTTTAGAGGCAACATCAGTGGCAACTAAGACATCTTTATTTCCGGCTTTGAAAGATTTTATGGCGTATTCTCTATCCTCTTGATCTTTGCCTCCATGGATGGCAACTGCTTCAACCCCTTTCAGAAGGAGATACTCATGGATATCATCCACATCAGCTTTGTTTTCGCAAAATATAAGAACTGGGGGCGGTGTCTTTTGCAAACACTCTAGGAGGTAAACAATTTTGGCCTCCTGCTTCACATACTCAACTTCTTGAATGACATCAAGATTAGCAGCCCCAGCTCTACCGACATTAACAACAATAGGCTTAACCAATGCACTTCTAGCAAAATTCTGGATCTTTGTTGGCATAGTGGCAGAGAAAAGAACTGTCTGCCTCTGAGCTTTAAAATGGTCAAAGACTTCTCTGATGTCATCCTCAAATCCTAAATCGACCAGTCGATCAGCCTCATCCAGGCATAAATATCTGAGGAAAAAGAAAAAAAACTGTTAGGGCCTTAATAGAGGATAGTTCTGTCATAAAAGCAAAAGGACAATCAACTCATGCTGCACATTCAGAAATTAAGGTAGTTAAAGACAGGTTGGAAAGCCATGTTCCATATAATCTGCACCTCCAGCAGTCAACCACACCAAAAGCAAGAATTATGTCTTTCTTCCACCACCCATGTCAGCAGCATCAATCAAATACTAAAGTCCAAAATTCTTGGGCTAGGGGTAACCCAGAGGAAGATTCATGTTCATGGCTCACTTACCCAACATCATTAAGTCGGTAAGTAACTAGCAACCAGCAATAATAACCAATAAAACATGAGACAAGCTATGACCCACCAACTATCGATTCTAAATTGACATAACAGACCAGTAACATACAAGCAACCATCTTACAATCCCTACCCCCCACCCCCTAAGAAAGATTTGTAATTGGCATTTTCATTCAGTGATATAACGATTTGTATTTTGCGACAGTTACTCATGATCTCCAGCAAAGATAATGCTTTGAATCACCTCATATATGTTTTTTTTTTTAAATTTTATTGAAAAAAGGTTAAAAAAAAAAATAAAAAAAAATATATGTATATATACAACCTAAACAGTCCAATGAAGACTGCAACACTACCCAACATAATCAGCACAAACTAACAGCACAAGAACACCCCAAAAACCAAAAATTACATCAAGAACAACTCTCTAAACTAGTTCTGATACATCATATATAGTTAATGACTGAATTTTGGTTTAGCTTCTTCGCTCACCGACTATTATATGCTCTACGATATTCATTTTGACTCAAACGCTTATTGCTCAGTAAGCAGCAGTTATATTACTATTCAACAGCCAAGGTGCTATGTGTTTTATAGCAGAAACACAAAGGATGATACCAAAAAGATGAAAGGTAAAAAAAAATGGAAAAAAAAAAAAAAAAAATACACCCAATAGTAAGACAAAAATTACGTACTTGCATCTTGAGTCAAAGTATCAAATCAAAAAAAAGGGAAGGTTCACACTGATGGCTTGGCTGGATTGAGATGTATAAGGAAAAGTAGAGCAAAAATTCTGGTAAATTTGAGAGAGTGGGATGAAAGGAATAATTACATGAGGGTAACCTATTACCCTCAAAATAAGGGTAACCCAAGAAACATTTGTATAACCCTATCCTAGTTTCTCTCTCCTCTCGGCCCAACCGACCTACAAGGTGGTCTTATCATGGTAAGACGGTCTTATTTAAAAAGTTGTACCATTTACCTACCCCCTCCCCTGGGGTAACTTTTCCACCACTCTATCCTTAACCAAACGATCTGCATATCCTCTATGATGTGGCAACAAATCGCCAGAAATATCAGCTTCCCCATTCTCCCTTGAAAGTTGCTTTCTTGCTCAGGCTTGCACAAAAAAAAAAAAAAAAAAAAAAAAGTACTTACCATGCTAAAATCTTTTCATCTAAAAGGATTATTAGATCTCTAGTTGGTCTCAGCAGAGGACTTGGTCACTATCATAAAAACAAAACCACCATATTGTCACCTCTAGGTTCATCCGGGACCAGCCAAAGGGTTGAGGAAACAGTATATGGTTTGAGGAACTATTTAGAGTATAATTCAGCTTCTATTTTGTGCCTATATATTTGAATAAATTGAATCATCACATGGTAAAAAATAAGGATGCATACCTCTCAACTATCCAGATTTGAGACATCCGAGAAACTAAAACACGGCTGAAGATATGGAAAAGATTCTAAATGTCTTTGGTTTTGTGAAAACTACTACTGAGAGAGATTTTTGCTAAAAAGAAAAGAGAAAACTAAGATAATGATCAGAGCACTGTCTGATGCTGTAAGGATCCAATGAAAGCTACAGTTCAACAAATTAAATAAGATTATAAGATTTCAGGAAAACTAAGGGAAATTCAGGAGGGATGACTTGATTATTTCATTTCATGGTGTTGAGTTCTAACTATTGCAAATATTTTTATGCAGAAACACAAGCTAGTACTAAAAATGAAAACATCTTCAGTTCACAGTCATGGTTGAATAATCATGAACTGGGAAGTAACTCATACATCCAATGGCCTATCACTCAATTTCATGAGTCTTAACAGGATGTTTCTCACAAATTTCCAGCCATCTACTCAAAATTTCATTTATGGCCCTTTTGATTCAATTCTACTCCAAAATAAATGAGTGAAGATGTAGCCAATTATAAATGATAAGATTGAATCTCACAAGGTACATGGACGACCTTGTTCCATAATTATAAGAGCCTAATTACCAAAACCATTAAATCGTTGAAAAACAGAACCCATCAATCAGAAACCTCCAGCACAAACCAGAAAATATGAACAAGAGATACATGCCTATGGCCTCTCTAAGCATCTCCATAAACTTTATTTGAACAGAAACCACCTACAAGTTGATCAACCATCAACTTGTTATGTAATTCTACACATAAATTTAAATGATTTCCTCAAGAGAGAACTAGACGCAAGAAGGGTGTTGGGGGCATGTACATGACAAACAATAGGAGGGAGTGGATAACACGAAACCTGCAATTAACAAGTTTTAAACAGCCTTCATAAATATTAAAATTTTAAAGTATCCAAACATAAAAACCAGACCATGATCGTTGATTTAGACAGCAATTTAGAAAACACTAAAATATCAAGCAACAGAGCAACTAGCGATATCTCAGCATGCCCTTACTACACATGCAAGACCCTGAAAAATCATGCTCCAATTTGTAAGCGTAAATTTCAATTTCAGCCAACATTTGAACCCTAACACTTACCCCAGAGACCCCAGAGACCCCAGAGGGCCCAAAGGGAATGACCAGATGCAAGACAAATTCACTTACATAGCTCCGCACCTAAATCCAAACAACAAAATTACGATCAACTGTCATACCCATGACATTATTTTAGACATCTCTTCACAGATGGTAATATAAACACTTCAAGGGAGAATAGAGGAAAGTGGGTATTCAGCAGCAAGTATAAAACACACAACACAGGAGGATATTGATACAGGAATTAAAAAAAAAAAAAAACAAAATCTTACCTGCAGTTATCCAGATTCATTTTCTTCTTGGCAAGCATATCCTTGAGCCTCCCTGGAGTGGCAACAACTATATGAACACCCTGCTTGACAACGTCCAATTGTGATTTCATATCCACCCCTCCAATGCACAGCAATGGCCTCAGTTCTGGCCATCCAGCCTTCTTAAGCGGAATCAGAAACTGCTCCACAACCTCATAAGTCTGCCTCGCGAGCTCCCTAGAAGGGCAAACTACAAGCCCAAACGGGCCTTCTCCATGTTCAAGAGGCATCATTTCCTCTTCCTGCAGGGCCAACATTATGAGGGGCAAGACAAAAACCAATGTCTTCCCCGAACCAGTAAATGCAATACCAATCATGTCTCTACCAGACAAAATGACAGGAAGCCCTTGCACTTGGATTGGTGTGGGTTGAAAAATGCCCTTCGATTTTAACTCCTCCAATACAGGTTCAGGAAACCTCATCTCCTTAAAAGTCTTGATAGGCGGCGGAGGGTCATCACCATCAACAATAATATGCCATTGCTTCCGAATGGTGTCACACTGCTTCTTCGACATCCTCCTTATGGCCAGGGGAGGTTTCCACCCAGTCCAAAGAGGCTCTGTGTATGTTATACCTTTTGCCAGCTCTCGAACCGACATCAGGGATTTCTTGTCTGAAAGATTCTCAATCATTTCCTTTTCTTGTAGGACAATTTGCTCAGTGGCACTGATCTCCGGAACATCTTTCTTTAATTGTGTAGCTTTAACGAGAAGACTGGGCTTAGCCTCCTCAGTCTTCTCTTTCTCAGATTCAACTTCATTTGTGTTTGATTCTTTCCCCTTCTGAAGTATTTTTTCTTTTAACATAGCCCTTCGCTTATGAACGGGGATGTATTCCTCATAGTTATCATCCTCTTCAATTTCCATATTTTCTGAAACACCTAATAATATAGAATTTTTCACCAAATCGAAAGGGTCAATACAACAAAATAGCATTTGCACAAGAGAGAAAAAAAAGCTTTAGAATTGACAGACTTTAATCACAATCTAAAAAGTACTTCAAACTATTATAATTGTTCTTCAAAATCCCATATTCAGGAACCAGTTTACAATAATGAGTAACCTATAAGGGAATAAATACCGCAAAAGATAAATAGAGTTCACAGCATAACAATGAAAATGAAGACTCTACAACAAGCTCTCCCTTACTTCTCCACTGACTCTACATAATACTCAAAATTATATAGGCTTTCAATTCAATCTTCTAATACACAGCTAAAATGCGAGGGAGCCACGGTTTATAAGGCTGATATACAAACTAGCCTTCAAAAACAGGGGAAAACCACTAATCCAACTAGCGTTTTTACCCTAAACCTAAAACCACTATTTTTTTTTTGAAACAACCTAAAGCCACTACTTGAAACAACGGTTTTCATCTATTTTAGAAGGCACCTTATTAACTTGAATTTTACCCTAAAATGCAAAGTTTTTTCTTGGACTAGTTGGTCGATGCAAACCCGGTGACAAGCCCGTCCCTGAGGCAGGGCAGGAGGGGCGGCCGCCCTAGGCCCAGGGAAAAGAGATTTGATTTCATATTGAATTATCTCCAAAAATACATAATTTTAGGGATATTTGATTCAATAATCAAATTACGCTCATAATTTTCTTTTCTTTTGGATATGATGTTTCATAATCTAAGAATTTACGAACCCTAAACTTAAAGCACTGATAATTAAATTAGATTAGATCAAATATAAACCCTAGATTGTGAAATTGATATGATGATAACAACAACAAACAACTTACCTTAGAAGCTGCTTCAATGGGGGATCCAAGAATTAGATTCAACGGAGAACGCTTCAATGGAGAACGTTGAGTGCACTTCAATGAAATAACTCAGAGAGGTAGGAAATAGGAATGGAGGCCTTTAAAAGCCATGACCCGCCATAGTTATAATACTATTATTATGTTAATAATCTTTTAAAACACATTTGTAAAAGACAAATGAGACTTTATTTATCTAGTTCTTTCTGTAAATATCAATACTCATTAGAAATTGATACTTCGAAAATAAAATACAATCTAACACCACTCTTTATGACAATATTTTTGCTTAGGTATAAGCCATACATGTACTATGTAAATCAGTTTGTACAAATTTTCATTAAAAAATGGATACATCTCATAAGTCATAAATACTGCGTGATTGGGGCTGCAATTGGTTAGAAGGACGGCGTGTTCAATTTCCCATAGCAATAATTGGAAGAAAACTGAAACCTAAGCATCCAGAACTGATCCCTAAATCGAGATTAGCTCAAAGGAAGAATCGGGTGGAACACCGAAAAAAAAGAAGTCATAAGTATGTATTTGGGCTAAGACCAAATTTTACACCATACCAAGTATGCATAACTCCATACACATAACATAAACAATGGACCAACATCATAAAACCAACCAGCCCAAAAAATAACCAACCAAATAAAACAATGTAAGAAAAGAAATCTAGTACAGTCACTTGACAACTTCACCTAGAAATTCAGAGGAGAGAGAAACACTTTTGCATAACAATGGCGTGGTGCGCAGCAAGAACCTTCCAATTGCCGGCGATTGACACCGGAGCAATTCGCGCTAAATGCCAAATAGCCGCCGGAGTAGGCTGCGTTTCATTCGCCGGCTCCAATTTATGGCGCTCTTCTTCTTCTTCTACCTCTCGCTCTAAACCCTTCGCTTGTCGTGCTCTTTCTACTGATGCCAGTATTCTCTCTCCTCCTCTTTTTTATTTCCATTTTAGTTATTTGTTTGTTTTTTTTGAAGTGGTCTCTGAGTTTTTGTGTTATTTAATGCTTGTATTTATTATTTGGTTTTTGTAATGTAATTGGAGTATGTTACTATTTTGAATGATGTTTTGTTGAATTTGGATGCTTTTAGGGATGAATTGGTGATATTTTTTTTGTTAATTTGTATTTGGAAAAGGGTGTGAGTAATACTTAATTCAAGAGGAAGACATTGTTTTGATTTTGGGAAAGTGTTTTCTGTTTGAAATTGGTTGTAGTTTTGAGCAATGAGCATGTGGAAAGTTGGGTCGTAAATGTCGAATTACTTGATAAATTCATTTTTGAGGCAGTTTGCAACTTGCATAATGCATCAAAAATTTTTGAACCTTGAACATTTCTCCACTTAGGCCATTAATTTCTGTCATGCTATTAGCTAGAAATTTATAATTTTTTTGAAAAAAATTCTATTTGATAAGTATGATATTTAGGTATTAGCTCAATATGTATTTTGACTGACTTTGGTTATCAAGTTTTGACCATGGCGTAATATAATAGAAAAGACTTAATCTTAAAAATTGAATTTCTTTCAATATGATTGATACTGAACGCCTTTGCCATTAATCCAAATTTGTAACTAGTTGAGGTTCATATTACATCGGGTGGTTAAAGACTAAGGGAAAATGGAACTGACCTTTATAATCTAATCAACATGAAATAGAAATAGAAATTGAGTGGATGAGGACTTACTCTTATCAAATAGGCTCGAGGAGGAATTGGCTTAGACTTTTTGTGATCACATTTTCTTAACTGGTGATGATTTATGTGTGTGTTTTCATTTCCGCATATGTAGGTTTAAAGGAAGTTGTTCAAACAGACAAGGCTCCTGCGGCATTGGGACCATATTCTCAAGCCATTAAAGCAAACAACATGCTCTTTGTATCTGGTGTTCTGGGTCTTGTGCCAGAGGTTTGAGTTTCAAATCTGATAATTTCCTGCTAATTTTGTCTGTGTTCTTGTAATTGTTTTTGCTTGCTTATGTAAACACTACCTGTTTGAATGCAGACGGGAAAGTTTGTATCAGAAAATGTGGAGGAACAAACTGAGCAGGTAATTAAGAATTTTGCAAACTGACATGGTAACTTAAAGCTTTGTTATAGCTCTATTATATTTCTCTGCCTATGATTCTACTATCAGGAAATCATTTTTTTTGTACAAGTATGCTGGCGGTCTATAAGTCTAGTAATTGTGAAGGACCCGTAATGACTCAATCACTGGATAGTGGATGGATGGAATGCCGGATTTATGAGTGTAATTATATATTTATATACATTTAATAAAGGAAGTTTTGCCTTGACAAGCTTGTTAATGCATCTCCTTTTTCGCTGCCAACTACTCCACTTGTGCAGCATTCTTTTGGCTAGGGTGGGAGACTGGGAGGTGGGGTACTGTTTGCCAAAGAGAAGTTCTTTAAACTATCTTGTGCTGATAATATATGCTTAGTAAAGGCATATCTCAATGCTCTACAACGGGTCATTTGCTTATTCCTATAAATCAGTATTAGCTAAGACAAATATGATCCTCAATGAGTCAAACTGTCAAAGTGCCCATAATAAATTGGCTTCAGTGGCTGAGTAGTATCAAATGCTTGTCACTTGTCTGCATTGTAAACCCAAATTTTATTTTTCTGTGGTCAATGAAATGCCTAAAACTGTAGCAAACTGGTTCAAAAGTACTGCCTTTGATGTGAATAAGTTGGTCGGCTTTCATTTGCCATGAAGATAAACATGTTCCTTTTACAAACTGTAGTTTGATGTATGCAAGTGAGCTATTTGCAAATTGCCAATTATTGCCAAACATGCATTTAGTTTTTCATTTTGAATGAACTTTTAGGCATTCTACAATTATTGTAGATCTCTAGTGTTCTTGTTTCCAGCACAGCATCGAGGTAGGGGCAGTATATAGTTTGTGAATTTGGCATATCTAGACTTTCAACCTTTATTACTCTTAGTTCTTTTTAATAAATTCCCATATTTTGGACCCTAAAGTTAGAGAGGTGTTAATTTGTCAAGTCATCTTACATTTTCAGGTTCTAAAAAACATGGGTGAAATTTTGAAAGCTAGTGGGGCAAGCTACTCTTCTGTAGTCAAAACAACTATCATGTAAGAGCATTAGCTTCTCAAATTTCCTTCTTGGAATTCAAAGAAGCCATGTAATATGAGCTTTACTGATTTGTTTGATCTAAATCTTAGGTTGTCAGACCTGAAAGACTTCAAGAAAGTGAATGAGATATATGCTAAGTGTGAGTGAATTTGTATCCCTTGACCTATTGTTCATTGCAGAATTTTATTTTTTGTGGTATGCAATTCAAAAAGGAGTTTTTAAAATTTTATGGATTGTAATTTTATTTTACTCTTGCAGATTTTTCATCTGTACCTCCAGCTCGATCAACTTACCAGGTTGCAGCATTGCCTTTGGATGCCAGGATTGAGATTGAGTGCATTGCTGCACTATAGGTTATGTCTAACTTTAATTTCTGTATGACGATCAATAAAGTTATCATGGTTGTGCAGCAATTTGGTGCTTTGAGCATCCTATTCCTACTACGGAGTATGTTTGCTTTAGTTTTCTTTGACTTGCTGTTGGATGTACATGGTTTATGCTCTCCACTCAATGTATGATTCTGTAGACATTATTAAGACTTTATGTCAAAATTTGACCCTTGAGCTTATTGAATATTACAGTGAGGGTGCTATTGGATTCATGTTTCCATCCCATTAATCAAGCACCTCTTATTTTAGGGAGTTCAATCAAGAATCTGTTGATATGTTAGCTATTTGTATGATCAATAATTTGTTGGAACCTATCTTCTCCTTGGACCTTGGGGTTTCGGGTTTCCCCACCAGCTTTTGAAACAAGTTAAAGCGATTTGGCCTTCTTTAGAAGATTTACACCTTGGCTTCTATGTATATTCTTGGTAACTGGCAGATTATTATGTGCACCTGGGTTCATGTTCACTAAGCTGGTATGTATGTTTCACACCGGCACTTGAGGTAACATGTTAGCCGTGTGCATTTAATGGATCAATGCATGTAGAATATATCTGTACCCATCAGCATATGATGGTCGGTATCTGCAACCAGAATTAGCGATCTGCTTATGCATCCGCTGATTATAAACCATCTAGAAGCATTGGGACGACACAACAAAGGATTTATTGTAAATTGATTTTCATCTTCAATGACTGTCTAATTGTCTAGAAAACTGATTCCTATTCCCAAATTAGTCTACAACAAAGCGATGAATCTATCATCGAATGAGTCTTAGGCCCTAACTTATAGTATAAGCGCAATTGTGAAAGCAACACCAGCCATGATCAGAATATTACGAGCAACTTCAGCTCAAGCAGCACATTTATCCATCATTCAAGGGGTTAGAGGAGCTGAACAAGATATCTAAATAATCTTATGGGCTTTGTAATCTTTCATTCCGTTTGCAACGAATTAAAACCAGTTTGATATAAATATTATGTCACCTATTTGCGGCTCAATTGAAGGATCAATTATGCTTCAATAATTCTAGATTTATACAGATTTTCTAAGTTAAAAAAGAAACTATGGATGTGATAAGTTAATAAGATTTGATCTAAAGTAAAATTTGCCATGATTCATATGTTGAGAGTGTCCAAATTATGAAAAAAGTGGGTGAATGTTTTTGATAATGTAGTACTCGTAGTGGCTTAGCGCATAAAGTAGGTTTATTCATGCACATAATCATACATTTAAGTGGTTTAGCGGTGGTTTACCTAGAATATTCATATAGGGTATGCATTATTATGTTGACATAAGGACATGTGACGAGAATTAATCTTAGGATCTCGTGGAAATAGGAAGGAAGTTTTAACTAACTGAGCTATTTTCTTTAATGAGTACTAATAACCACGAAGTATCATTTTTATTGATGTGAATTTTTTTTTTGTTTTTTTTGTTATAAAAAACTGAAAGGTTTTAAAAATATATTAAGTTGAATTTAAAAGTTATTATTGAGAATTTAAGATACATGTTTGATCAAATAAAGAGGTAATGAGGCATGTATTATAAGTGGATGTAAATACCTTGCAAGTTGCAAATAAAGTGAAGGGGCAAGGATTTCATAGGTATAATAGATGATGGGCGGGTAATCGAGTATTAGCTGGGTGTAGATACCTTGGTGAATGAAGACAAAAATTATTGTACTGGATTTTGTATTTGCCT